GGGGGGAGGGGGTGTTTTGCATATTAAGGCTTTTTTAAAACGCAGGCGGGCAGGTGTCTGAGAGATACAGGCGCTGATTAGAGGCCAACGTGAGGTGGGGGGGGAGAAATGCCCAGCCATGCAAATTCCAACAGCACAGAAGAGACTCACAATGTTTGTGTGGGGCTTTTGTTTGTGCGCGTGGGCGTTGTTTGTGTGTGTGTGTGTGTGTGTGTGTGAGACCACAAGTGTGGGAGCGTGGGCTTTTGTGTGGGACTCACGTGTGTGTTGTATATGTGCAAGTTTTGTTCCGATTGTTCCGTCTTAAGTGTGTTGTGTGTGTGTGTGTGTGTGTGTGTGTGTGTGTGTGTGTGTGTGTGTATATGTGTGTGAGTCATAGAGGAAAACGTGGAGATGGTTGAGATGACTGGATGTGTGGATCAGGATGCCCCCAAGGCCCGTTTTTTTTTTTCTGTGGATCTCTCCCCTTCCTCCTCCTCCTCCTCCTCCTGTTCCTCCCCTACCTGCCTCCGCCACCACTTGAAACAGGAGCCTACGCACATTCGCCGCGCGCACACACGCACCGAAGTTTCCGTTCGCTAGATTCTGCATCATCAAAGTTCCATCCACCTTGGTGGCGTCTTTGGAATGAATATGTCCTCTGTTTCAGCGACACACTCGTGCGCGCGCGCACACACACGCACACACACGTCCGTGGCCTTTCTTGTTTGATGCTAATCTGCGCTGTCACTGTGTTGGCCTCATACGCTCCCCATCTTCCCTCCCAGCTCCTCTTTTGTGGCAATTGTTTCCTCTTTTCCTTTCATATCGCTCCCTCGCTCGCCCGATATCCCTCCTCTCTCTCTCCCTGCCTTCCTTCCGTCCGCGCGTCGCCGCTCTCCTTTCATTCTTTCATCCTCCTCTCGCATGTCTTCCCCCTGCCTCGGCTTCTCCTCCTATTAGGAAAGTTTTAATGGCATAATTGTCACATTCCTTCTGGCACAATGAACACTGGACGGTAATTAAAAGAGTTTGCCATTAATTACCTACTTTCCCCTCTTTTCTCCTCCACCCCCCCCAACTCTGCCGCACCTCTCTTCTTGCCTTTCTTCTCCGCTTTCTCATTCTCACCGACGTCCGCCGCCATCAAAGTGCGACCCTCTGCTGAAAAAAAAAAAAAAAAGCCTTGACTTTGAGCGGGCGGCGCTTTCATGTGAAGTGAAAACTCTCGCTTAGCATCCTTTATGATGGCTCTGGGAAACTCTCAAATTTCCATCGGACCGACCGAGCCAAGTTTCCTCAATCTCACACACACACACACACGCGCACACATACACGCACACACACACGCACACACGTGTACACACACAGGGCCATTTAAAAGAGGAAGTTACTGTGATCTCTTTGAGAGAGGACGATACCGGCGAAAGTGGTGACACACAGCCCAGTTTTGAGTTTCCCCCTCTTCCTCTTTCTTCCACCCGCGGACGTATTTTGGTTCAACTATTCCAGACCTGATGTTGACGTAAAACGAAGCGCTCATCTTGTGCATCAACGGTTCCAATGGAACGTCCGCCTCTTTAAATATTTTCGTTTGAAGACTTTTTATCCAATAGATTGTTTTCTTTTTAGGAAATGAAAGCTTCGGGTATCAGACTATATATAATCGGCAGTTTGTAAAAGAGAGACTGGAGGAGTCACAGAAAAGCATCGACGAGAGTGGAAGGCATTTGAGAACAAATTCTCATTTGCAATGCCAACCTGGCAGCAGACAGCAAAGTTGGAAAAAAAAAACATTCAAATACATACTGCAGATTTGACAGTTAAAAGGTTCTTCTAAAGCACCGGTGTCAAACTCAAGGCCCGGGGGCCAGATCTGGCCCGCGACATCATTTTATGTGGCCCCGCCGAAAGAAAATCATGTGTCATGAGATGAATTTATGATTCGTTGAAGACTTTTCCAGTCCTTTAGGGCAGAATATTTAAAGAATGGGACTGAAGAAGTCAAGAAAACTGCTAGAAGAGAGAATCCAGGTGGGGTCTATCTTGTAGGACCTGGTGAAATTTCACTCGCTAACCTTTTGTGTTTTCCGTATGGAGACTCTAATCATCATCCTGACGCATCACATCATTGCCCCAGCAGTCAATTTTTTTTAATTTGTGGCTTTCCACAGGCCGAATAATGACGACATGACACGAAGGGCCATAATTTGGATCTCGAGTTGGACTTCCGTGGACTACCACGGAGGATCTTCACATTTCCTTCGTTTTTTTTGGGGGGTTTTTTTGCGCAATTTGCTGCCCTTCTCTTCCACCTGCTGTCCTTCCACCCCCCGTCTTCCCCTTCTCTCTTGGCCTCTCCATCCATTACGGGAGAGCCAAGAGCAGATGCTGTCTGTCCAACCGCCGTGCCCTGGTGCATTGTGCGCTTCACCTCTCCTTCCCCCTCCGTTCCTCCCTCTATCCTCCCTCTTCACGTCCCTCTCGGGGGCTCCATTTGTTCCGACGCCGGTTTTCCGCGCTCCCGCCATCCCCAGCCTTTCTTATTCGCTCTTTAAAGGAGCCGAGGTGGGGAGGGGGTGTTGTCGTCACATAAGGACACGGTCTGTGTGGAATAGGGGAGGGGGGGGGGCGGCTTTGACCAAAGTCTGACCTCAGAGAATCGGAGGTGAAAAGGTGACGGCGGGTGGACAAGGAGAACGCGAGGGGTATCAGCGCAAACGTTTATATTAAGAGTCAGACATGGACTCACCGAGATGTGCTCACAGTTGGGACTCGCAGGGGGTTGACCAGAGACAGGAAAAAAAATACATTTTTTTTAAATCTGATAAAACTTTGAGATGAATAAGATGGTGCTATAGATTTAAGTTCAGAGCTGCCGAAAATAAACGCAATACAATATGCCGCTGGCATATCTCCTGTATGTTGATGTACTTTATATGCACCGACCATATCTCCTCTGGGCTTGAGAAAAGGTTCACGAAACGCGCTCCAACAAGATAGGAAAGAGATCTTCCACTCACACTCAAAAAACATCTTTTGGAGGGCAGTTTGTCAAGTTCACAAAAATGACTTATGGAGTTTACCTGTTTCAAGCTGCTAGCAAGATTTCAACGTAGCCTAAAACGAAGCAGTCGACTTTAATAAATGACGTAGTGTGCGGGGAGGCGAGATTCTGACTGTCCATTTTCTTCTTAACTGTTTGAGGGACAGCGGTCACTACATTTGACAGCTTACCATGTTAGCAGGTTACAGGGTGGATGGAAGGGTTAAGGCCTCGAATTTTGGAAGAATTAATTTTTTATGGATTAAAAACAAAATTTT